GTCAAAGCAACGCTCCGCCTGCAGAGAAGAAAAACGAAATTAATAGGTGAAGGCTTGGTCTAGGAGTTTTCAGATTTCAAGGCAACAGATTCCGGAAGGTTATCTGGACCTGATAGAGGTGGTTTTGACTACCTCGATACCAATGTTGGCTCAGGGTTTGCAGGAGAAAAATTACGCGCTTTAGATTTAGGATTTTCTCTACCAATATGTATGTATGTAAATTATGGTGTAACCAGTGATGAGAAATTTACAAAAATATGAATTTGCTTCTCGCGCCGGGAGGGATGTCGCGTCCCAGATTATTGTATTAATATTATGGAATAATGCAATTATGACAAAATTAGAAGTCAGCATCGTAGTACAACACAAGACCGTTTTGTAATACGAATACAAAGATGAATTGATGCAAGTATGCCACGGTTTTTGAATAAAAACTGAGACCACACTGGACTCGGGAGCTCATTACCAATGTATCGAAGTAAACCGTTGTTCTTTAGTGTGAAACTAATAAACTAAAGTATCTTAAATTGCTGAGATTGAGTCCATATTACTCGACCATTCTACTGTACATTACATCTTTTTTTGACGTGGATACGTCTATGGTTTTGTTTTGGAGGGTCATTCGGTAAAAAAAATCCTTGTGGCCGCGCCATCTATCGGCGATACCGACTGTCGCTACATTACCAGCCGTCGATCGATTGGTAAGATACCAACAGGTTATTCATAGAAATTTCCAGTGCAGAAATGTCTAGATTCAAAACCCCCTATAAAAGACGGATCGGCACGCTCCGCCGCCAGTCGTAAATTGGCAATCAAAGAGCCAATTTCAAATCGTATAAAGTAAAGAGTGTAAATGTCTAGTGTAGTGGTAAGGTTTGTCTAAATATTGACGTGGATACGTCTTGTAACGGAATTTTCCATTTGGAACTGGAAAACTACGTTAATTTGCCCATTTCCCCTAGACTGAGAAAACGAAAAAAAAAACATCGATGAGCGCCAGCCGTCCTTTGACCTCGGAGACGACAAACCGAATAAATGAACCTCAAGCGAAAAACAATGAAGGAACCAGAAAATAACCATTAATCTAACACAAACTTAAAACTAAGGAGTCCAGGGGAAGGTGATAGGTGGTCCGCGCTGCTCAGAGGGTTGGTTGTGGAGAGAGGGGTAGATTCGGATGGAAAATCGGCCAATAGGTATTGTTACTGAAAAAAAAACAAATAATGTAACTCGAAACACCGGAGTTAATGTTGTGTAATATACCGAGGTTATATTCGTGAAAAATAATTGGAAAACGATACACAACTGTCTCAAAAAAATATATCCAAATAATTTAGCAAAAGAAAAAGAAACACTAAATTAACTCAAAACAACTAATCTAAAAAAAAAAACTGAGAGTAAGAGCACAATAAAAAGAGATTGAAAAAAAAACAGAATAATCACACAAAAAAACATTCTTCAATACTCAATAATTATTGTGCAGACAAAGAGCCAGAGGACAAATGTCTAAAGCGAACTTCAATCCTACGACTCGAATTCTCGTCAATGCCACGAAATAGAATTATATGTGAAACAAATCCCATGAAATCTAACACACGTTCACGTCCAACGCAAAGAGAAAATCACGACTCTGATCAACTCGCGTTAACCAACAACATTCTCACCGTTCAGCGCAAAACCCGTAAAAAAAATGGAGCGGACCCGAGATCGTACGGAATCGAACAGCCGAATACACCACCCGTATCCCCACGTAATCCGAATGCGAAATTCTCATAATTATGCACAAAAAAAGGAACAATCAAACTCAACAATAATCCTCAAAAGAGTTCTACGGCACAACTCCGGATAGTTACGAAAACCATGCGGCAACGCGAGTCGAAACCCAAAATCTCATCTAAACGTCTGCTTAGATGCAAAAATTCTCCCCAGAGGGGCATCGCCCAAAGACACTCTGCCCGAAGGCCATGGACTCGATGAGGGCTAGTCACTGATTCCTCGAATACTCGACTACTCTTCTCAACTACTCTTCCCAACTAAGTCTCGAATGCGCAAAAGTCACTCAATTTATACCCCAAAAGTGTGAAAAGAGAGCGAGTATCTAACGCCAAAAGATAGAACGAGAGCGTTATATCCACGTAGTGGGGTCAGCCGCTGTGACGTAGGCGAATGTCCAGCGCTAGGTACGAAGACGCTGCTAAAGGGTCACGTCAACCTAATGGCCATAAACGCGTAATTCGATTCAACCTAAACCGACAATAGACCAAAACAATAAAAGAAAATGAAACGGAGTAAAAGGGCGGTAATTAGCCCAGATAAGGTCCACTAACAATCATTACCTCTTCGGGGTTGCATTCTCAAGGATTATCGGGGCAGAAACGCATGATACACCAAAAACTATAATTCAACAGAACACATAATGCACCCTAATACAAAACTTGACCCTCTAAAACTTATAGCGACCTTGGCAATTCACACGGTTGCAACGGTCGCGATTGGCCGTGTGACCTTCCACCGAAACCCAAAACCGAAATTGTCTCATTCCGATTAATCCATATACTGAGCGCCAGCATTTCATCTGGACCTCCACACGTCCCCGAAGATTAAACCGTAAGGGAGAAATCCTGTCAATAATCGCGTAGCTCGATAATATTTTGGCCCAAACAACGAAAATCTCTAGGTCCCCGATAGCTAACTTATTCAAACTCCTAACACATATCACAGAAATATTACCCGAAAAAAATCATACCTACCCCTCAATATATTCGAAACGTGAAACGATCACCGGAAGATAGCTAATACGAAATTCTGCTTGTCAAAAATTATATACAATAAACGCTGTGGGTCTTTGTCTGACTCACGCTTAATCCGACGTTCTCGATGGTCTCTGGATCGCCTAAGGAATGCCCAGAATTCCTTACAGTCTATGGTTTCAACATGGAGGGTCACTTTGGGAAACGATCCTTATATGCAGCGCCATCTATCGGAATTTCAGAAAATTCTAGACATTTCGAGGTAATTCGAGAAGTTTCTTGAAATTTCGGAAAAATTCAAGGAGTTTCCAGAAATTTCGAGGAAATTCAGGGAGGTTCTAGAAAGTTCGAGAGAATTCAAGGAGTTTCTAGAAAATTCCAGAGGATTCAAGGAGTTTCCAGAAAATTCGAGGGAATGCAATGAGTTTCTAGGAAATTCGAGAAAGAAGGAAAGACCATCCCCGTACAATTACAGCTGCATCGAAGATATAACCGCCTGCAATTTTTTTAGTAATTCCATTTTTGTGCGACTCGTTAAAATTTTGTACTTTCTACAAATTTTCGTGCAAGAAATTCAAAAAATTATGGGTCCCGTTTTGTAACATTTTCAAAATTTTGATTGGTGAGTTTTCTTACAGTTTCAGCAGTATTTAATCAACCTTATTTTTTTCAATCTCTTGTAATTTTAACATAACAACAATTTTAATATAACAAAACAATTCTCTAGATTTTTAGGTTTTGGACTCAATGTTACGCTTCACAATAAGTGGAAAATTGTCCATTTTTCCATTTTGCAGATTGATTTAGAACGAAATTTTTTCTTTCTTATTCATCGAACGTTGTTTTAATGGACTCACACCACCGAAAATGTTCAACAAATTACAAAAAAACAAATTTGTGTTTTACTCCGTATCCCACACCCTTGATTTTTCTCTTATTGTTAATGTCACTCTTTTTCTACTTCGCCACGAAAGTAGAAAAAAAAACAATTATTAACACTGTTCGATTGTACTATAATTTTTTTTCTAACTTTCCCTCATTTTCCCCTTTCTTAATTTTTTTCCCCAATTTTTTCTTTTTAAAAGTGTTGAGAAATCATATTATACATTTTTCAATAAATCCTTAAATAAAAGCTATTGCAAGAACAAAAATTCTAGAAAAGAATGACAAAAAATACAAACTCCGCCTTATGCCGGTCCGTAAAACATTCGTTCTCATCTCGCCGCATCGCCGTTGAAAGCGAGAACGCTCAAGACAAAAAAGCTCTTTTTTTTGTCAGTGCGAGGACATAACAGCTGACAGTCAACTCAAATTCTACAGGTTTTTTTTTCCAATTCTCAATACTCAGGAGCGAGAGTGAGATTTAAAAAGAGAATAATAATGTAGAATAGGCGCTCAACCATTTTTTTCGCTATTTATTAATGATTTCGAGTGTAATAATTTATATACCATGTGCATGTATCCATCACCCAATATTCGCCATATCTAGATGGGTTTCCGGTGGAGCCGGCGGGGTGGGGGTGTTGGTAACTCCATCGCGTCCTTAAATTTGTAATAGGAGTTGGTGCAATCAAGCCTGAATAATGCAATTGACGATTCACAATTATTACATAATAATCGCATGAAATTTTAGTCTCCAATTCTCAATTCTTATAATTTATTTTATTTATTCTATCGAAAGACAAGGACAGAAATCGAATTTATGGGTACGCTTTCATTATTCGAAAAGATGTATCGATTTTAAAACTTTCCGGAGACATTGAAAAATTAATTTCTTCATTTCTTCCCCTCTACATTATTTTGCATTTTTTCCATTTCTTCTCGTTAAAATGAGATCAGAAATCTTGAAAACATTATTACTATATATTGCGTTGTTAAAAGTAAGAACAAGGGAAAAACTAAAAATATGTATAACTGAAGGAGGTATAATAAAAAATGAAGATGACAATAGTTATTTAAAGAACATAAAAATTCTAAAATAATGATGGACTGGCATTGAAATATATATATATATATATAATAAGAATGGATAAAGTTAAATTAATCTAGCGACAGGCGCGAAGCGCCCCTTCGTTAGTGATTTGAGATTCTAAACAGGGGCCACGAACTATTAACAACATTTCAAACACATAAAGTTTAAAGGAAGTTGTCAAGAAATTCTCGGCCCTGTTTTTGGTAGTTTGTAGAGAACTCATCGCTTGTTCTCTAGTACTTCATCTGCAATTCAATAATATTTCAAATTAATTTCAGAGTCAACGTTGATCATTTTCATGTTGGTTGGTACCAGAGTGCAGATGTGGGTAATTTCTTGAGTGTCAGCCTCCTAGAGTCCCAATACCATTATCAGACATCGATTGAAGAGTCTGTGGTTGTGATTTACGATACAGCCAAGTCCGGTAGAGGTTTTCTGACAATCAAGGCCTACCGTCTGACACCCCAGGCTATTCAGATGTATCGAGAAGGTGAATTTACTCCCGAGGCCCTGCGTACTCTTAAAATTGGCTACGAGAATCTCTTTATTGAGATTCCCATTGTCGTCAGGAACAGCAATTTGACAAATATAATGATTTCGGAATTGGAGGAGATGATCCCAGAAGAACAGGGGACTAAGTATCTGGATCTGGGGACTGCATCCGTTCTTGAAGGACAATTGAGATGCATGATGGATCGTGTTGATGAACTCAATCAAGAAGCCATTAAATTTAATAGGTATCAACATCTTGTTATTCGTCAACAACAGGACAAGAATCGTCTTCTTCAAAAGAGAGCCCAAGAAAATGCGGCCAGAGCTGCTAAGGACGAACCTCCACTGCCTGATGATGACATCAACAAGCTCCTGCGACCACTTCCCGTCCCACCCAGGCTCAATCCCATGATCGTCGCAGGACAGATTAGCACTTACAGTCAGCATATTTCACAGTTCTGCGCTCAGAGTCTCGCGAAATTGTATATTACGCAGAGCTTACAGATTGCCAAGGAAGCTAAATCCACTAATTGATGGAAACGCTATGATCGAAAATCATTCACAAACTCTGAAGTGAGTTCAAGCATGAGTTAAACAATTTAAATTTGTATTTCGAGATAATATTGAATAAAACAGTGAAAGAAATTGAAACAATTACTTAATGGTAGATCTGACTTCCTTGATTGATATTAGTAAATATATTTCAATACGATTGTGAAAAACTGTTTTTTGACGTTTAGGCTTTACGGCGTTTAATAGCCTTTAATAGCGTTAAACGTTTAATAGCGTGCTTTGTGAGCACTACGTTTGTAGTGCTCACAAAGTGATACCACTGAAATTTATATACTGGAAAGGGCACTGGAATGCCAGACTCGTAAACGGAAAATGAGCCAGAGAGGATTCGATTTTGGGGGCCACCTCTCTTACTCTCTCGACGGTGCGCATGCGCGTAACCTGCTAAACGACACGGTACAAGCGAGTTGAGAAGCTTAGGTTGAGTAGCGCAGTGAATTGATGTGTTAAAGATTGTTTTGATGCTAGAAGGATAAATAAATATTGGGACGTTCTACTTTTTCATCACAGTATTGGAAAGATCCAATACAGATCCGAAACTCGAGGCATGTTCTTGAAATTGAGGAATTAATTCCTCTTGAAATAAAAGTTAATATCATTGAAATATCAACTTTCTCTTTCAGGAATTATATTGGACAAACCGAAATTTGAAATTCCGATCACTGAGGACGGTACTGACTCAGAGGATTTCGATTTCCCATCAGATTAAATGAATATAGAATCGACTGAATTGTATATTCTTATATATTTTTTCCACGGCAATTTACTTGTAATAGAATTGTAAATACCCTATGTGTCAATATACATTGGGAAAGAATAAAATTTTCAACTGTCACATGTTCCCTGGCGATTTAGGGGCCACGGTACAACCACGGAGAAGCGTGGCTCTTAGTGTGGCTGTTCATTTTCGGGTAAAAAAGGCGAAAATGATTGAAATCCGATTTTAAAATTGAGTAAATATTTGTGACGTTATGAGTTTTACCCGGAGGTAAAACTCGGTGAATGTTTGTCCTTTTTCCTTCGGCTATCACCGTCAGTGCGTGGAATCTCCTTTAACACTACACCTTTTTCACATATTCCTGCACTGTAATCCTTTGGTGTCGTCACTTAATCCTCAGCTAACTTCTGCGGTAATTCCATGGGGGGTTCGCTCATTCGTGGGGATGTTAGGACAGGTATCGAGGATATTACTTGTGAAATTCCAAATAAACACTCGCGTAGTTAGTCGGTAAGAGGATGGTATATTGACTATTGTTTGTTTTAAGTACACGACTCGGTTTATGATGGGTTGGTATACGCGTTATTAATACTCTCGACTAGGGACTTCGACTCGATTTTGGCTGAAGGCCTGCGCTAAAGGTCCGCTCGACTCTGCTCCTGATCGTACTCTGGTGCTTCCAGAGTCCTCAAAACTTGGCAAAGCCCTAGTTTGCTGAGCTAAGCAGTCTCACGGTTTTCTTCACTAACACTGTCTCGTGTCATCACTGACAGAGACTCAAACAGTCAAACAGTTCATCATATTTCTCGTTCCCACCATCCAGCATTATACTATTATATTATATAACTATTAACTAAATTGACGTATTGATCGATCTCAATACGTCACATATTAAAAGCTGAACTATTTGGACCAATCTGCGCCCATTAGTTTGTTAATTTTATCAATTAGAATGAATGATTGATAGCTTGATAGATGACAATTAAAGTCCGAATTGAGAAATTCCGCGAGATGGCGAAACGGTTGAATTACCAACTCGGTCGGTCAAGTCGGTCGCAGTCAGAGATCACGGGGGGATGTTGCCGCGTATTGTTAAATTTGATTCCTGCGGAAAAAATTGATAAGAAAATGAAAACTGCGTGTTTTCATCGAATCGTTTTTCAAAATAATAATCTTTTCATTAATTTGATTAGTTTCATTGCTTATTTACTTGAAAATTCAATTAATTTAAAGGCAATTGGATAATTTACGATTATTCAAGGTTTAATAATAGGGGTTGGAGTAGAGGGCTAAGGGTTGAATAAAAGCCGGAAGGATTATCAAATGATGTTCGATCATTTAAGATGTCATGGGGAGGGGGGAAGAATAGTGCGGCTCGAGGGTCATGTAAGGGCTGTAGAAATCAATCAATAATTTTAGATGATTCAAAATTTAATAATGCGACACGGAGAGCACGTACGGCAGCCGCCATGGCCGGCCATGGAAGTCGATGGCCGCGGCCATAGATTTCCGTGACCTCGGCCATGGGTCTCGGGTAGCGGTTTCAATAATAAAATGATAAATATATGAATAAATAAATAGATAATAAATAATTGATAAATAACCAATAAAACAAAAATAAAATGGAATAAAAATATGAAAAAATAGGGGACCAGTCCCCCTGCTGCCCCCTTGAGTGGAATGACCCTTCCCCCCCTTGCGAAGGGTTTAACCTGTACGGACCCTTTTCACCCCATAAAGAGCCTGTCCCCTAGGAAGGATAAGGGGGCCAAGTACAATAAAGGCTTTGACCCTTCTGACCCCGTAAATAACTTGACCCTTGAAAAGGAGAGGGGGACCGTTCTGACCCCTCCGACCCTTGAGAAAGGGTAGCCCTACGTAGGCTTCATTCTTGAGAGGGGTTAGGGGCTAACCTAATAAAGACTCTGATCTGTTCGACCCTCCTGACCCCTAATCATTCCTCAATCTCTGACCCTTAATTTTTGGTATCCTAATTTCGAGTAGTCAATCTTTTATCGTTTTTGTGATACCTGCCTGAAAAGTGCACTTTTCGAAATGGTTTAGTGTGCGTAAGTTCAAGGTCGTGCGTAAACCGAATTTCTAGTACGTAAAGCGAAACTTTACGCACTCCGTGCAAGAAAGAAATAGTATATTTCGTAACGAGTGCAAAAAAGTGTTTTTTGGCGAGTGGGAGGTTTATATCACGAGCCGAAGGCGAGTGATATAATCCCACGAGCTAAAAAACATTTTTTCACGAGTTACGAACAATATTTTTCATCACAATGTGGCGGAAATTGGACTTTTAAACACGCGGAGCGTGCCGAAAAGGTCACTTTTCGTCACAGCCCGATGAAATAGTATATTGTGTTACAAGTGCGTAAAAAATCACTTTTTCGCACGCATGCGTAAAAGCGCTTTACGCATACTAAGCCGTTCCGAAAAGTGCACTTTTCCGGAACAGTCTAATGTGTGTAAAGTGGTTGTTTTCCGCACTGCGTGCATAAAGTTCAGAGGTCGTGCGTAAAGTGAATCTCGTGTGTAAAGTTTCGTTTTACGCACTCGAATTTTACTTTCTACACGACCTTGAACTTTATATACTCCGTGGAAAAAAATCAACACTTTACCCCCACTACCGCCCCGAACAGTGAACTCGATAGGTATCACAAAAAATTGTATGTGTTACGTGTGCGTATGAAAAAGTACGATTTCACGCACTTGTAACACAATGTACTATTATATATCAAAATGTTACAGCGGATGGCCGTAGAGCTAAGGGATCGTTGAGAGTCATAAGAGTTACCAAATCATTTTAGGCAATTTACGGTTTGATTATAGGGGAAAAGGGGAGGGGGCTAAGCGTTAGGTAAGGGCCGTGAAGATCAAGAAATTATTTTCGATCATTTGAGGAGCCAGGGTGAGCAAGAGAGGACGTCATATGACGACTGTAAGGGTCAGTTAATTATTGTAGATAATTCAACGTCTAACGATGAGGTAAAGAGTTGAGGTGGGTTGCAGATCAGATAGAGGTCGCTCATAATTTTCCCATTGCATTCATCCTTCATCAAACCTAGTACTTTCTTATTCACTCGTGGAATACTATATTCATTATTTTCAGAGTAGTCAGATGTATCAAACTTGGAAATATCACGTATAATGTTTTCATAAATATCTGGGACATTGAATTGCTACAAGAGACTATCCGTGTCAGTGTACAATAATTTTGCGCCATCACCAAATGTTTTGTTGACATATTCGTAATGAAAATCATAGAGGAATGTCTTTGATAAATCGAGGACGGAAAATCCAATATAGATGGTTTTATTGAAATATATTTCGTTACGATTCAATTGGATAATAACTAAATTTTCATGTTCATCGAATATTGTGCAACTATGAAAATTTGGTTGAGCAATCAAGGCTTTACCCCCATACCTTCCATTCCCTGGCGAGCTGACCACGGTATACTTGGCGAACAAATTCCATATTTAAAAAAAATAATGATTAGAATCATTAAGAAATAATTTGGAAAAATTTAGAAAAGCATTTTCATAATTTGGAAACAAATAGTTATTTATTAATTATTGAAAAACTGTTGAACCGTATACTTGGCAAACATTGATCAAAATTTAAAAAAAAACTTTAGTCGATGTGAAACTATTTGGAAATAATAGTAGAAAGGTTTTTCCCATTTGGAAAACTAATATTGTATTGATAATCAATGAAAAAAGAATGCCCGCAATAATGTTCTAGAGTCACGTGACCGAGTCTTCCCCTTTCATTTCTTTACCATTGTCTAGGTTATGTTCATCACGTGGACCTGGATATCACCCTTATCAGAAGGAAATCTCCAAGTTCTTCGAGGAGGACCCCCTGAAGACCTTCCTGGCCTCCACTCTGGAGCAGATAGAGCGCTTGNGTCACGTGGACCTGGATATCACCCTTATCAGAAGGAAATCTCCAAGTTCTTCGAGGAGAACCCCCTGAAGACCTTCCTGGCCTCCACTCTGGAGCAGATAGAGCGCTTGAAGTTCACGAGTGCAGCCTCCAAGTCCCACCTGATCACTGAAGAGTACATGCACAAGCTCTACACCATCAAACTGATTGAAATGCGAAAGCCGCTGCACATATTCACGATGATCCTGGACACAACCTGCCTGTAGACCTCCGAGAGCCTCTACTCGAGCATCTGCGGAGAGCCCCGACGCCTCTCCATCTCCAAGAGCCACGAGCACAAGAAGATAATCTCAAAGAGAAAATCCGAAGGAGCCAATCTGCTGTTCACCTGGTGATTCTCGGCATGCGAATACACTCTGAGCTCGTCGACGACACGAGCATCGTTTAGACCTGGCAGAGCGAAGTTCGAATG